TCAGTGAAAAACTGGTAGATTTCACAGATGACAACAAATGGATCAAAATGGACGGGAATATTATGGAAAACTTTCATCTAGCATTAGCAGATGAAGTATTGTCAAGCATTGAGGAGAAAAATAAAGCTAAGGAGATATGAGATCATCTCACCAAATTGTACGAGGTCACATCGTTGCACAATAAAATTTTCCTTAAGAGGAAATTGTACACTCTTTGTATGCCAGAATCTACTTCAGTGACGGAGCACTTAAACACGCTGAACACTTTATTTTCTCAGCTTACATCCCTAAGATGTACAATAGGAGAATAAGAATATGATGAACTTCTACTTCAAAGTCTACCTGATTCTACTTCAAAGTCTACCTGATTCGTATGATCAACTCATCATCAACTTGACAAACATTAATGTCACCAGTCTAGTATTCGATGATGTTGCAGCTGCTGTTCTACAAGAAGAAAATTGGCGCAAGAACAAGGAAGACAGACAAGTAAATCTGCAACAAGAAGAAGCATTGACAACGATGAGAGGGAGATCAACAGAACGTGGCCAAAGCAGCAGTCACAAACATGGTATATCGAAGTCGAGGAGCAAGAAGAATTTAAAGTGCTACAAGTGTGGAAAGAAAGGTCACTTGAAGAAGGATTGTTGGAGTCTAAATAAAAACTCCAATCCACAAGGCAATACCACAAATACTTCAGATGATGAAGATGCTCTATGTTGTGAAGCTTCAACCACTGTGGAAGGCATAAAAAGATTTACAGATATATGGCTCATTGATTCAGGAGCAATATATCATATGACCTCAAGAAGAGAATGGTTTCATCATTATGAATTTGTCTCATGAGGATCTGTGTATAGTTACAATTATCATGCCTTATAGATCGTTGGCATGGGGACCATCAAATTAAAGATATATGATGGAACAATTAAAGTTGTTCGAGATGTGCGGCACGTGAAAGGCCTGAAGAAAAATTTATTATCCTACGGATTGTTGGATAATAATGCAAGCAAGATTGAAACACGGAAATGAATCATGAAGGTGTTTCGTGGAGCGCTTATGGTGCTGAAAGGCCAAAAGATAACTGCAAACTTGTACATGCTGAAGGGGGACTTTGGTAGAAGCAGAAGCCTCTGTTGCCTCATGTAGTTCAGATTCTGCAATGCTATGGCATCAAAAACTTGGACACATGTCAGAACAAGGAATGAAAGTCCTTGTGGAGCAAAAGCTACTTCCAGGCTTAATAAATGTATAACTTAATTTGTGTGAGCATTGCATAATAAGTAAGCAGCACCGGTTAAAATTCAACACATCAAATTCTAGAGCCAAAAGTGTTCTAGAATTGGTTCACTCTGACGTATGACAAGCACCAGTTACATCCCTAGGTGGAGCAAAATACTTTGTCTCATTTATTGATGACTACTCTAGGAGATGTTGGGTATACCCTATTAAGAAGAAGTTAGATGTATTTTCAACTTTCAAAAACTACAAAGCGCGGGTGGAACTTGATTCTGGAAATAAGATCAAATGTTTTAGAACAGATAATGGAGGAGAATACATAAGCGAAGAATTTGATGACTTTTGCAGGAAAGAAGGCATCAAACGATAGTTCATAGTGGCAAACACTCCTCAACAAAATGGAGTGGCAGAGCGGATGAACAGAACCTTGTTAGAAAGAACAAGAGCAATGTTGAGAGATGCAGGCTTAGAAAAATCATTTTGGGCAGAAGCAGTTAGTACCGCCTGTTATTTGGTGAATCGAATTCCATCAACTGTAATAGTGCTGAAGACATCAATGGAGATGTGGACTGGTAAACCAGCTGATTATTTAAACCTCCATGTATTTGGAAGTATTGTGCACGTGATATACAACTCCCAAGAAATTTCAAAGATGGATCTAAAATCCAGGAAATGTAAATTCTTGGGGTATGCTGATAGAGTAAAGGGGTATCGTTTGTGGGATCTCATTACCCGCAAAGTGATCATCAGCAGAGATGTTATCTTTGTAGAAGATAAACTACAAAGAAAATGAGAAGATGATAGCACTAAAAAGTCAGAGACTACACAGATACATGTGGAAAATGAGGTTGAAAAAGGAGATTCTTCTGAAGCAGAACCAGCACATGATGAACGAGAACCAGAGAGTTCTGAAGCTCCAACAACTCGTCAATTAGATCGTGTGAGAAGACGTCCCAATTGGCACTCAGATTATGTTATAGAAGTAAATGTTGCATAATGCCTCTTAACAGAGGACGATGAGCCATCAACATATCAAGAGGCAATAAACAACTCAGATACTTCACTGTGGATAATGGCTATGCAAGAAGAAATTGAAACCCTTCATAAAAATAGTACATGGGACCTTGTGCCACTACCACAAGGAAGGAAGCCAATTGGTAACAAATGGTCCTTCAAAATCAAGCGAAATGGTGACGATCAAGTGGAGAGGTATCGTGCAAGACTGGTGGTCAAAGGATATGCTCAAAAAGAAGGTATTGATTTCAGTGAAATCTTTTCTCCTGTGGTTTGACTAACAATAGTTCGAGTAGTTTTAACAATGTGTGCTACATTGAACTTATATCTAGAGCAGCTAGATGTTAAAACAACTTTTCTTCATGGAAATCTTGAAGAAGAGATTTACATGCTCCAGTCTGAAGGTTTTGAAGAAAAAGAAAAGAAGAACTTGGTTTGCAGGTTGAACAAATCTCTGTACGGTCTAAAGCAGGCGCCGAGGTGTTGGTATAAGAGATTTGATTCCTTCATTATGTTCCTTGGATACAATAGACTTAATGTAGACCCTTGTGCTTATTTCAAGAGGTTTGGTGATAAAGATTTTGTTATATTGCTGTTGTAGGTGTATGACATGTTGGTTACATGACCCAACAGAGATCATATTGAAGAATTGAAGGCACAACTGGCTAGAGAATTTGAAATGAAGGACTTAGGATCAGCAAACAAGATTATAGGGATGCAAATTCACCGAGACAGAAGTAAAAGGAAGATTTGGCTTTCATAAAAGAATTACTTGAAGAAGATATTGTCACGATTCAACATGCAAGATTGTAAGCCAATTTATACCCCTCTTCATATTAACTTCAAATTATCCTCCAGTATGAGTCCTAGCAGTGAAGAAGAGAGGATGAAGATGTCTCGAGTGTCGTATGCATCGGCAGTGGGAAGTTTAATGTTCGCTATGATATGCACAAGACCAGACATTGCACAAGCAATGGGAGTGGTTAGTCGGTACATGGCGAATCCAGGCAAAGAGCATTGGAACACAGTAAAGAGGATCCTGAGATACATCAAAGGGACCTCAAATATTACATTATGTTACGGAGGATCAAACTTGCTAATCAATGGGTATATAGATTCTGACTATGCAGGGGATTTGAATAAAAGCAAATCTACTACAGGATATGTGTTCAAAATTACTGGTGGAGCTGTAAGTTGGGTTTCAAAATTGCAGTCAATTGTGGCTACTTCCACAACTGAGGCAGAATATGTAGCAGCTACACAAGCCAGTAAAGAAGTAATTTGGTTAAAGATGCTATTGGAGGAGCTTGAGCACAATCAAGAGTATGTTTCTCTGTTTTGTGACAGTTAAAGCGCCTTGCATCTAGCAAGGAATCCAACATTTCATTCAAGGACAAAGCACATACGAGTTCAGTACCATTTCATTCATGAAAAGGTGGAAGAATGAACGAAAGATATGCAAAAGATCCATACTAAAAACAACATAGCAGATTTCATGACGAATGCAATCAATACTGATAAATTTACATGGTGTTGATCCTCTTGTGGTATGTCAGAGACATAAGCAACATGAATGAAACAAGGTAGAAAGAATGGTGTGAAGACATGATTGTTTCAATCAAATCTTCAAGTGGGAGATTGCTAAAAGTCAAGAATACTTTCGGTGATGTATTAATGCACCGAAAGGTGCACAGTAGGTTTTGTTGAATTTTTTATAAAGGAAAAATCTCACATTTAGTCATTGTACTTTAGGGTATTTTCAAGATTAGTTCATAAGCTTCAACTATAAATACCCTAGCTCATTTAACTTCAAAACCATCCCAAATCATTCTAGTTTTCTCCTAATACTAGAGAATTTAGAGAGTTTCTTGAGAGTTGTTTTCTCCTTTTTATCAAGAGAGAATTATCATTGTTTTCTCCTTGGTAGATCGAGAGAGGTTGTAATTCCTATTTTCTCATATTAAAATTCTTCTACTGTTGCCCGTGGTTTTTACCCTATACTATTTAGGGGTTTTCCACGTAAATTTTGTGTCTTCTTTATCTTTATTTTTATTTTCTCAAATTATCAGTTGCGATTTTGCTCTATCCGATAGCCGTCTCCCGCAACATATAATTATTTAAATTTTCATGTCCTAATTATACAACAAATGAACATTAAATAAATAATTTCATATCATCACTTTAATGTCAACAATCAATTTAAATCTAAAAGAGATTAAATTAGATCAAAGTAAAATAAAAGAATTGGTACTGATTTTCATCATAATAAAGAGATTAAAACCATAATTAAAATAAAAAAATACAAATTTCATCATAGACTAACAAAACTTCTTTATACAACTCAAGGGGGCAAATGCAACTATAATTACAAATTTGTATTTATATATAGTTTATGAAAGGAGAAAAGATTCAACCCCTTGGAATATCTATGTAGAATCCTAATCAATTCAATATCAAAAAACTTCAAAGGTTCTCTGTGATATATATGCAAGGACTTGAACTCGTATTAATAAAGTCCTCTCTTTTTTTGGACAGAACCATGAACTCACACTTCCGAGTTTATATAGTGTAGCTTTCTTTATATATATATATATATATATATATATATTAATATTTTTGAATTTTAAATAGTTCAATGTATAATTAAAAAAACATTACATTCTAAAGTGTATGGTTGGATCCGAACCCTACATATATGAAACAATAGATTAATTTACTTAGGGTGATGAATGTATAAATTCATATATTTATAATATTGGATGGAAGTTGTAATATTGTCACTGAGTTTGCTGTTGATGTCCATGCCAAGTCCAAACTATATCTTGCAACGATGGCTTCAGTTCCCGGTTACAAAAATTCTTATATTCCAAAGTATCTCCTGACGTTTTGTTCAGCTCCACCACATGAAACGACGGCGTAACCTCGAAGATCTCGGCGTCGATCTCTAATTGTCCTTTCCGTCCTTCTTTGATCCCTTGTAACCTCACCTTCCCTTCGTCGTTCCTGATGTTGAAACTCTCGTTCAGAGCTATTTGTTTGAACTTCGAAACGATGTCGTTTGCCGGTTTTTTGGTGGTGAACCGGGACGAGTTACATTGGTTCAAATCTTCTTCGAATAAACCAGATAGATCGAATCCTTGAGAAAGGGATATAATGTCGAAAGCATTATAAACGTTCGGTCGAATCGGACTCATCGGCCTCGGTGTCACCAAGGTCGATTCGTCTTCGGAGCTGGTTTCATAAGCCGAAGACGATGTTGACGAATAGAACGCTGCATGTACATCGCTGATCATCAGGTCGAACTGTCGCGGATTCGGCGACGGCGGAGGGGTGTCGATTTTTTTGTACCCTTTTTTAAACCAAATGTTCTTCATCAGCTTCACCGTCGTGATCCGTTGGTTCGGGTTCGGGTCGAGGATCCGAGAAAGAAGCTTCCGGACCTCCGGCGGCAACCAATTTGGGCACTTGAAATCACCTCGACAAATCTTTTTATACATTTCCATCAAGTTCTGGTCGTGAAACGGTAAAAAACCGGCCAAGAGAACGTAAAGGATAACCCCACAAGACCAAATGTCCGCCTTAGCTCCGTCGTACCCTTTCTTGTTTATAACCTCCGGCGCCACATACGCCGGCGTCCCGCACGTAGTGTGAAGAAGCCCGTCTTGCCGGCGAGACTCTGTTAAAGCGCTCAACCCGAAATCCGAGACTTTCAAATTCCCGTTCTGATCCAAAAGTAAATTCTCCGGCTTCAAATCACGATGGTAAACGCCTCTGCTATGACAAAAATCAACCGCGGCCACCAACTGCTGAAAGTAACGACGAGCAACATCTTCCTTGAGTTTCCCTTTCGTCGCCTTGTTGAAAAGCTCGCCGCCGCGAACATATTCCATCACGAAATAGATCTTCGACTTGCTGGCCATCACCTCGTAGAATCGAACGACGTTGGGATGTTTGATGATCCTCATGACGGAGATTTCGCGTTTCGTCTGGTCGATCAAACCGCCTTTCATTATCTTCTCTTTGTCGATGACTTTAATGGCGCAGCTTTGGCCGGTGGTGATGTTTCTTCCATAATAAACCTTTGCGAACGTGCCTTGTCCGAGTAATCTCCCAAGCTCGAATCTTTGCATCAAAACAGTCCCTTTCTTGTCCATTGTAAATCCTTTTCTACAGCTAAAACAACATGAACAATTTAATATATAAAAAACAGGAAATTTTTTTCCTTTTTTCAACAATTACTATGAGAGAAGGGGCTGATTCAACACAAATTTTGGGTTTTGGCCAATGATTTTTCTCCCTTGAATACCACAAAACTTGGCTTGTTCTTTGTAGAAAACTTGCAGGGTAAAGCTTTACCTGGGAAATCTGTGATTTCCAAAATTAGTGAAAGAATTTGCTGGACGGTCTATAGATAGTTTGAAGAGATGCTGATAATTTGGATCGGTGATCGGACGGTTGTTATTTATTTTGCGAGGCAAACGTTTGGTTTTTCTTTTCATGCATGCATACGTAGGAAATTCTAACAAAAATGCTGATAATTTAGCTGTAGAATATTTAAATGATTTTTTAATTGATAAAATACACTAGAGGAAAAGTGTGTATTTTTCATATCGACACCCATCCCTAATCGGGAAGGATAGATTCCAGCCCCTCCTCAGAGTCCTCAAACACATACTGATCCCTATCAAAATCTAACCCTTCCACCAATATCTGATACAACTGTGACTTAGTGTAACAATGGCCAGATGTATATTTGGCAGCACACCAAAAGCATAAACTTTTCTGCCTTGTATCTTTAATCTCAAAACAATTTTTAGGAACAGATTGAGGCAGGGGTTTGGAAGACATGTGGGTAGATGAATTGGGGGACTGTAATTTGGAATTGGTCATAGGCCTTATAGAACTGAACTTACGAACATTTAAGTGGCAGAAGATACAAGGGTTGGTCTATTCGAAACAATATAAGTATTTATAGTAAAACTGTTGTGTTCATATGCTTTGTGAAATAAAATAGTGTCTAATTGTTTGGCCAGATGGGATGCCTCTAATAAACCTTAAGGTCAAAACAACTTGGTGTATTGGCTAACTTGTAGTTTCAAGTTACTAATGAGGATACTAAGAGCTGGTTAAACAAACGTACGAATTCCTCATAATAAATTTTCCATTGAGCCTCCCTTTGAGATGAAGCATTAATGTTTGGATTTTAGCATTTTTAGCCTCAAATATATATGGTCAATTCAATCTCTGAATTTGGTAACTTGAAATGAGGGAACTTGGGCACAACTACTCAGTCTTATCATTAAAAAATCTTTACGTCGTCTCGCAAATTCCATCTTCTATCATCAGTGAAGTCGAAAATCTATTCTCACCTCCATTACCCTTGGGGCTTGGACAGATCACTCAAGTTTTTGACTTTAACTCGTTACCAATCCTAATTCGAAATATTATCAGTTTATCTTCAAATTTTTATTCCAACTAAACAGTATTTATTTGTAGCTTCATAATATCATGTAAGGTTTGAGTCGACCGAGCCATTTGGCATCATGTTTGATGATTTGCCCCCACATGTCAACTCTTGAGGCTCTAATACCTATAGATGTGAGTAGGGTTGCACATAATTCGGATTTCAATCCGATCCGGATCGGTTTTTATCCGATCCGGTTTTTCCCATAGAAACAAAATCGGTTTATAAAATAACCGGTTCGGTTTCTAACCGGTTTGGAGGGCCGGATATCCTAACCGGTGTAACCGGTTTCGGTTTTAAAAAAACCGGTTTTTTTAAAAAACCGGTTATAAAAAACCGATTTTAATATTCCAGATTGCTCATAGGGAACCGATTCCCCCCAATGGGGTACCGATTCCTCATTGAATGGTTTGGCTCCGAGATTTCCAGAATGCTCGGAGGGAACCGATTCCCCCATAGGGGTACCGATTCCCCCCTATTCAACGGTCGAAATATTTGAATTTTACACTTAGGGAACCGATTCCCTATGAGAGGGTACCGATTCCCCCACGCTCTAAGCATTTTTTATTAAATGTTTTCACACTTAAACGGCTATATTATCTTCATTAATTATCACTAACGTTCAGAAGTGATTCAAGGTGTATTTAAGCAAGCTTAGAAGTCATTGATCAAAGACAAGAAACATCAAGCAACTAGAATCAAGAGAGAATCAAAGAGAAAGCATCAAACCTCAAGTTCGATAAATTCAAATACTTAATTGAAATACTTAATTAACTCAACATAATTGAAATACTTAAATACTTCCAAGTTTGATAAATTCAAATACTTAAAAACTTCCAAGTTCGATAAATTCAAATACTTAAAAACTTCAAGTTCGATAATTGAAACAAAGTTTACGATAATTGAAATAAAGTTATAAAATAAACTACATTGCCATCTCTTCTTCATCATCTTCGCCTTCTTCGTTTGGAGGGGATATTCCAAGTTCGACTTCTTCAATGTGTAAGTTTGCTTCCAAATCGGCATCAATTGCATCTTCTAGGGTGGTGATATGTTGCTTACGAGCCGCTCCATCCAAATAATCCTTTAAACAAATGCATACTTCCACCGACTCGGGACTTAGTCTTGATCTCCGTTGCGATATAACCCTGCCACTAACAGAAAAAGCGGATTCCGAAGCTACCGTAGAAGCTTGGACGGTTAGTAAATCACGGGCCATGGCGGCTAGAATCGGAAATTGTGCTTCCTTTTCTTTCCACCAAGCCAAAATATCCAAACTTTCAAACTCTTCAAATGTCATTTTTGATAGAAAATCGCATGACATATAATTTCCCAACTCGCTACTTGGGGTGGTAGTACGTGATCGTTTGGATTGGGAATTTACAAGAGTGTTAAAAAGATTCAAATTTATGTTACTTGGACGTCTACTAGATGATTCCGCATTCATTCTCATTTGATCGTGTATTACACTACTTGATCCGTATTTATTTAAATAAATTGCAAACATGTCTCGAAAACATTTGTTAAATAATTTATTTGGTTTTGGACAAAGTTGGGTTCATCATCGGTTAGATTAAAAGCAAACGCAATTTGTTCAATTAGTGTTTCAACCCCACCAACATTTAACGTTGGGTTTAAAGCGGCGGCACAAGTAAAAATGGGGGGAATCTCCTTAAAATATTTTAAAAGTTTTCCTTCATTGCAAAGCCAATTTCTTGAAAAACTTCGGTTTCAAATTCAAAGTCATTTAGTCGGGTAGCCAACAAAAATATTGATTAAGAACCAACGGGCTAGTAGGGTAATAAACACCGGATAAAAAAGTTGTTGCATTTTTAAAAACCTCAAGCAAATCGGTTATTTTGGCTATAGTTTCCCAACTCGAATCCGGATAAATGTTTGGGACATGACCCCTCTCGAAAAGCCGATCGTGAAATGTTTGCAATGTTTCCCTTTGCCTTAAGGCAGTATGCATCATCATCCAAGTTGAGTTCCAACGAGTTGGACAATCCAAATTAGGACCCAAAACTTTTTTATTAACAGACTTACAAAATCGTTTATAATCATTTAGTCTTTTGTTGTTGTTACAAAGAATCGATTTTATCATTGTTTTAAATTCTAATCTAATTGGCTCAATAACCTCCAAACCGGCTTGCACGGATAAATTAATTATGTGTGCAACGCAACGGGTATGAAAAAACGCACCGTCTAAAATCGGTGAAAGTAATATTTTCAATCTTGGAACCGCGTTTGTATTATTCGATGCATTATCAAAAGATATAGAAAAAACTTTATTTTCTAATTTATAAAGACAAATTACCCGTTTTAAAAGTGTAAATAAATTAGCACCGGTATGCGGCTCACCGAATAATTCAAACGCGATTGTTCTTTTCATCATTTGCCAATTATCTTGATCTAACCAATGTGACGTAACGGCTAAAAAAGAATTTCCGGTATTATGAGGGGAACTCCAAACGTCACATGTAAGCGACACACCATAACGGTGTTCTTGGAATCCTAAAATCATTTTTTCCCTCGCCGTACGCCACATTTTTATAGCATCTCTTCTAAGGGTAGTACGACTTACTTGAGTATAACGTGGTTGCATTAGTTGTTGAATTGTTGTCGTGAAATCTTCATCATCAAAGTGGTCGAACGGCAATGCTTTTGTAATCACGAACTTTGTAAACGCTTCTCGTAATTTTTCGTTGTCGTAAACAAAAACACCACCTTGCGGTGTAAGATTCGATTGACTAGGATCCGATCTTGAGCGAAGTGCCTTGCATGATTTTGTCAAATGGTTCTTCAACGTTGTGTTTCCTTCCGATGCAAGAAACTTTAGACAAAGTTTACAACGCGCCCTCCTCGAGCCATTTGACATCTCACATAAATCGTAGTGATCCCAAATATCTTTGTTTCGAGTGTGTTCGATCACTCTCACGACTTCAAGGTTTCCCCCGACGGAAGATTCAGCAGTGTTACTCATGATGAATAAAAAATTACAAAACTAAGATTTGAGAGATGTTTAAGTGTTGTGTAATAAGATTTGAGAAAGTTGTAATCAACCAAATACATCCCCAACCTATTTATACATGTTTAGGGTGGTAAAATGGTAATTTTTTAAAGAAAAAAACGGTCAAAAACGGTCACAAACGGCTATATTAACGGCTAGTTTTTTAAACCCAGACCGGTTTTTTTTCGGATAAAAACCGGTTTTTTAACCGGTTTTTTTCAAACCGGTTTTTTATCCGGTAAAAAAACCGGTCTAGGTTTTTTTCTCCAAACCGGTTAAAATAACCGGTTTAAAAAAATCCGATCCGGTTAAAAAAAAACCGGGTTTTCCCAAAACCGGTTTCGGATATTTTTTTCGGATATTCGGATATTCGGATTTTTTGTGCACCCCTAGATGTGAGCATAAATCTAAAATCACACTATTAAAAGAAAAGTAGAAAAGAACAAAAGAGATGAATAGATGACATGTGGCACAGTTTTATTGGTAATTTTTAACTATTCACACTTTAAAGATTGATTTGGGAAAAAAGTTGAAGAGCGGAGCAAAAAAAAGACACTATATTTTAAGGAACAAACTATGCATTAAGCCTTGAACAAATGATAGAAAATCTATTTAGGCCACTGTTATCATTTTGATAAAAAAAAATATCCCAAAATTAAAGAAGAAAATAAATAATTGATAAAAAAAATATGGTATACATAATCATTGTCTTATTTAGTTCTTCTACACCAAGTATATTAATTTTCTTTTCATTTGAGATTTAGAGAAATGAATTAACAAAATGGGTATTTGCCCTTTTCACCAAGGGTTCTTCAACAATGGGGGAAATGGGAAAAAATGGTCAAGAAACTAAACA